TCTCTAGACCCCAAAGAAATTGTTTCCGATTATCGGATTCTTGAATCGAGCTCGAATTTAAGCAAGCTTCCAAGTTTGTCAAAATCTGCAGGAGATCTAAGACCATCCCGCATCTTGATCCCAATTAGCACATCCGCATCTACCCATCTACGCGCCGAAGCTATGGCGGAATTGGTTCTTAGATATATCTTCATGTGATGGAAAAAGCAAAGTAAAGGATTGATCTATTGATTTTGCGCCTTTTAACAGCATTACTATTATGCCTATGACTCTTCCGGTATACGTGGTGTATGTTATTCAACACCCTCTTCTTGCCAACCCCAGTATTCTATTCAATACCAAGTTCCAACGTAATCATCTCTCCAGTTGTGGCGGGGTTTATCTGTACGGAGTACTTACAGTTTGCGATATCGATAAGAGAATGTGAGAATGTATCATGTTAATTGATCCCTTGCCCCGCCGGTTCCGATAATATTCTAATATTCTAATATTCAACCCGAATTCTAATCATCGGAGAATTTATCTTGCCAATATTCTTTAAATTCTTGGCCCAACATCAAAGCGTAATAGGTAAATTTGAGATCCGGATTCAAATCACATATATCATAGGCAATACACACATCCTTCGAAGACTTTCCTACATATAGATTAGACCTAACAAATATGGCAATTCTTGAGAATGTAGATATTCTATAGTAGAACAAGGAACTAGGGACTTGCAGATTCACAACTCCTCACTTCTAGAGTCTTATATTATGATATTCCTCCTTCTGATCCACGCCTAACACCCTACTGCCTCTCAAATCTCAATCACCCTGCATGCAGATTAGCACTTTCCTCAACCCAAGCATGCCAAGTTGCCCCAATTCACGAACGAAAATTCCACCCCCTCCCGACTCCACCATGAACCAATCCATAGTCATGGGAACAAAAATATTCCGATACAATATCCATATTCCAAACGGAGTCAAATCGGGCATATTGCCGAGAATGATGCCATTACCGAGATGCTATGGAGATCTTTCTATTCAAGTAATACATATTTCCGCACTTACACTACTAGTGATCCCTCACCGTTTGTTTCGTGGCAGATCATCGGGAAGAACTCATTTCACTATCATGGATGATATGTTTGATTGTCATGATATGATCCACTATTTGACTGACATGACATGATAACTATATATCAGTCGTATGGGGTATGACAATAGCAAGGCTCTTTTCTTCCTTTTGAAACTTTGGATATTAACTCCATGGGGTTGCTTGCGAGGGCTTACGAATGTGAATCGTGAATCTTGAGTCGTGATAGAGAATTTTTATCATTCGGCAGAATTGAACGGAGATTTCAAAGACATAGATCCACTACGTGCAGGAGCTTTTGAGACGCTCTTCGTTCACTGCTCAAGAAATTTCTACGGAATGCAGACTTCAGTTGGAGATCAGTAGGGACATCTTCTGTCTTTTTTTGCTGTTAATGATGAAAGCTTGAGGCTCTTTAAGATGAGGGGCTTCGAATCTCAGATATCTGAGAGCTGAAGATCTGGAAGGGACAACGTCACTGGCGGCTTGGCCGCATCTTTACACATTTACACATGACGCATGGTCGTTGCTTGGATGAATCTGAAGTTCTCTAGATCATACATGATATCTATACGAAAATCTTGGAACGGGACGCTCATAATTGCTTAGATGGAAGACGCTTGGCCATACATTTTGTTTCCACAAGAGACTTGCACATTTTGCGAGCAGAATGAGATGGATTCCTCTTAAAGTTGAGCCGTTGTTCAAATTTCAAAGTCTGCTGTTCAGGATACCATCGCAAGGGAAATGGGCTCGCAATTATCTGGATCAATAGGAGCTGCTTGCTATTTGAAGATTACTGTGGATACTTCCAGTACTCAATACAGTTATTGGAATTCAAATAAATCATGCAAGTTTATCAAATGGTTCAAACTTTCAACCAAACTCAAAATTATCATGTTAAAAGAGACGTAACGCAGAACGACTCGACGGCTACAGTTCTAGCACAATTCAAAAATCGCAATGCGACCACCAACGTTACGAGAAGCTCGAGGTCCATTCAAAAGCCAATCAGCAACACCAGTAACTTTTCATCGCTCGTTAACTGCAGAAACAACACTCCTTATTTCACAATAAACAAAATCCAGTTGGCTTAGTGGTGGCGCACTTGGTTTTCACATCCTCTCAAACAGGATCACTGCCTCACAGCCGAAGAATTTGTTCGTTGGAAAACCAGTTCGCCTGGTTTTAATTAGCTCCTGCGGTGCTCTCCCGAACAGGACTAATATTTTTACATTTATTTTTAACCATTCTGGCGTTTTTTGGTGGATGAAAATTCAGAAAGACTTGTTGGCTTTCATCCCTACTCTGCAACTTGTTTTGCTAACAGAAATACAACATTGAAATGTAGCTTCTCAATAACAGATGAGAACTGCGGGCATATCCTGTCGAGGATAGGAGATGAAGACTTCATACAGCATTGAGAGCAAAAGCAGCATGCACGTTTTATTTATGCTTCGCTACCACATATAAGAATTCACTGTTTTGTATAAACTACATAGCTGCTCATGCATTGAACCAGCCTTGAAATTATTGATAGATACCCTTGTTCGGGAAGACCTTTGTGGTAAATTTCCTTCCATAAATTCTGAATCAATTCTAAAATATGCAGAGAGAGAATTGATTTTCTACTTTAGAGAGAAAGTCTTCCATAAGGTTTCTATTAGAAATACCTTATGTTATTGTTTAAATGAAGATTTCAATGCGTTTCAATTTGATCGCACTATGGTGTCTTGACTCTTCTCCACCTTCTGATCGGATGTGAACTTTTCAGGGGTTGAAGTAACAACGTGACGAGAAAGTTCTTCGGGAGAATAATATTTTAGCATTGTCTTCCGATATTCGTTACTGTCATTTCAGAATCTGACTTACTGTCTCCTGTTTCGGTTGTCACAAACCTCTCCGACAACACTCTGGGAAGAGGAGCAAACGTCCCAATATTTTTGTTTGAATGTAAAGGCTACCGATCTTACCATATTCAGAGCCAGTGGAATCTCACAGCAATTGGACGATCCTAGACTGCTCTCACTGGCATCTCTTGCTCTGTTCCGTGGCGTAATGATAGGATATCACTCTTTTATTGATAAGGCAACCAAACATTGACAGTGCCATTCGATCCATTCACCTATTGGATATCTCTATCCAGTGTGGCTACGCGCAAAGATTCCACCCAGTCAGGAAATTGCATTCAAAATAGTGTTACCAGTAACAGAAAATCCGTTGGACTTGTTAATTGCAACGTATTTCTCTCGTGTCCTTCAAAATAAATGGCTCCGAGAAACTTGTCGTTTTGGGCTGAAGTTACTAATGTTAATGCAACTATAAAGTTGCAGTTCAGAGCTCTGTAAGTGGGAGGATTGCTTTGGTGTTAATGCTTCATTCATTGGCATTGGTATGTCTAGTCTAACGACAGCACGTGGACTTTGGACTATCAGCAAGATATTCATGTACAAGAAATACATTAGTTGTTTCCAAATGGAAAGTATATACTGAATAAGTTGTATTGCTAGTCCCATATACCGAGCCAGTGGTCTATGATACCATCCAGGGCTAAAGTGTGATGCAGTAATGACCTAACTGTGGCAACGTCTTCGTTTCTCCTATAATTCAGAAGCTCAATTCTATTGTAAAGACTTCAGTTCAAGTAGATAATCTTCAACTCAAGATCTAGAGCTTCGCATGGGATGAAACCTGAAGTAATAAGATAGATTCACTCGCATCGGTTGGGAAGAATGGCGTGCTAGTATCCACTTTTCTTTCCTGAATCTTCCCGAATTTGTCTCCTTCGTCTTTCCTAATGTGCATACAAATACTCTCCGAAGAGCCACAGGGGGGAAATACTTTTAACAGAGAGAATTACTGTGCGAGCTTCAGATAAGTGAAAGCTATTGAAACTCGAGTCGGGGTCCCGTTGTTTTTGCACAGATTAGATATTGTGGCAGAGTAGATGGATAAATGTAAAACTTTAGATCTTGGGAGTTTGACAATCAGCAGTAGAACTTTCTGTCTGAATGAAACATCGGATGATGACGGGAATGGATGATGATTTCACAGCTCATGATATAGTTACGCGATCGATGATTAGAGTAGACTAAATGATATGATCAAGATGAACCTGTCGTTGGTTTTCGGAACATGGTAACTCGCCAATCTTGCAGAAGTACAATTTCGAGCTCGGAGAAGATTTCATGGCCGGTATGGTCTAATCATGTCGTACGGCTCTGTGCTTTGATATGTACAGAAATAGTTGATTAGGGGAGAATATCTTGAATGAAGGTAGGTGTGTACGTTTCCAAACTCAATACTTAACTTGCGACGGGAATTTTTATATTGTGGCATGTAAGAATTCTGTGTACAGGGCGGTAAATTTCTGAGCAGAATGATACAGCAGTTATTAGGTAACGATTTCTCACCATTGTCACTTCCGGAGGCTTTGCGGCTGGGAAGGATTGTTGAGATTGCGACCTTTGAGATAGGATAGACATTTTGTGGGGTGTTTATCTGGGAATTGTTCCTATAGACTTGGGTATAGTGAGTGAATATAAGTCAAATTCTTACAGGTGTTCATCATAATTTCCTTTGATTGATCTCTTATTCAGCCAGGAGTCATAGCCTCAACATCTCAATGAAGAGTACATATCTTCTCCATTGCTGCACTATCAGTCGAATAGCGTCAAAAATAGACGCGAATAACAAGAATTCTAGTGATATATAATAGCAAAATGATAGCAAGTACAATTGATTTATCCAGTGACTTCAGTAGAACCCCACCAAATTTGAATGTAGGGGGAACAAGCCTCAACCTAACCGAAATATTCACTCCTTGATTCGAATCATTCACTAGACCAAAAAGATGTTCAAGTCATTAATCTTAGGTACCGAAGATTTGCGATTGGTCTATTCATTAAGCTAAATATATATTATGTACATCGTGTGATATATTGATATGTGCATAATGCATGCAACCACTCAGAGAGATCTGCGCGAGAATTCATGCGAGAGTTGAGAGCATTCTTCTCGGAATATAGTAGTTTGATATCCGAATCCGAAGGGTCTCTGACAAGACTTTCAGCTAAAGTGCACCAGTTAGGTGAAAGTCGTTGCCGAGTTCCAAATGCCAGCATCACTTGTTCATGGTTGCAGTGTTGCTGCAATATATCAAATAAAACAACACCCCCAATACACTCAAATGGTTCAGAGAAAGAACTTAAATGACTGTCCGAGCCATCGGATTGAAAAATAAAAGCTTTGATGACACTTATTCCAGATGGCAGGAAGGGGAGAAATCTGAACTTCATGGGACTACCGGATGTTGATGTATCGACTTGAGAAACGGTAATCGTTTGCCGTTTCATGGATAAAGGCATATTAATTCGAGGTCTGGATTCAATAGTTGTGGAAGCTGGACGTCGAAAAGCTCCCATTCGGTCTGTACTCGTTCTAGAAGTATAAGGGCTTGGGCGGTGTTCGGGTATCAAGGTTAGAAAGATTCTATCATTATTCCAACTCAAAACATCGAGGCATATTATTATGTAGGTATGTGCAGGTAGGCTGTTGACGCTAATTGAATCTTGGCTGCTGTCATATGAAAGAAGAGACAATTGTAGGCCATTAGATCCAAAAGCAGATTGTATATCGACTGAAGGACCATTGATATATCTCGCATTCTGCTCATCGTACTGCAAAGTCCGAGGGGTATGATTTGATGGAAGAAGTGAAGTATACGGACTCCCGAAATCTCCGGGTAACCTCGAATGGAGCGGCAGCCAACTGAAGCAGTCATCATGAGTGCAAAATGCACTTGGAGAAGTTGCTAGTAGACCTTGATTGTAGGGCTCATGAGAAGCCGTCCATAAAAATAGAGTGGGGTCTGAAGTTCGCTTAAGAATCTCTTGCTGAAGTCGAAGGAATGCATTTTCGGAGCCCTCTCCATATATTGGCAACATATGAACATCGAACAGTCCCATCAAGCAGTATGCCATGTCTTCTTCCCGAGTGGTTTCTCGGTTTGAAACCCATGAAATTCTTTGGGCAGCATTACAGTATCCTGGGTAAATTTGTCTGAGTATGATACTCCTAAGAACACCTGTGATGCGTTCGATAGCAGCTGCATGCTCGATCTTTGTTCCTAATAGACGCCAGTGCATATCAAATAGTAGTAGATGACGTGGTGCTATGAGTTCTTGTAATGTCCATCCACGAGTGAACCATTTGCTTTGACCCAAAGAGCCGATCTCCTCTAAGTCAGATAAATATGCATAACAAACAGCAGATTCCTGGTACCAGCGATACATTGAGTTGATGGCCTCATTTAGTTCCGCGGAGCTCGATTTGTCAATACAACAAGTGTCAACCCAGATCCAATTGTATTTATCTTCCCTGGCCCTTTTGCAACATCCTTCTAGCTTTCCAAACCCCTTCTTCTGCTTAAAGTCACCGTTTTTGATATCTTCAAAAGTGACTTCCTCTTCCTCCCACCTATGGGAAAGAATAGCATACGAGGGTATATTTCGTTGAGAGAATTCCTGCACTCGAAGATTTTCCGTGTCTTTTGTGTCGAGCAACCGCATCTTCTCTTACTTGAAAGGGAATGTTAAGTTGACGAGGAATGACCAGTAGAATTCGTTGATTGGGCTAATATAAAGACTGCTACAGGTATCCGGAGCCTTGTGGTGGTAGATTCCGTGCACGAGGAAAAGATAATCTCGTAAATTCCACCAATAGATCAAGAGTATTTATTGTGATATAGATGAATATACACGTGATATTCCCTAATGCAAATTCCGTGCATATAGACCTCGCCGCCCTCAATCTTATTAATATTGCGTTCAGTAAACGCAATATTGAGTCTGTATCTCTAATATTTTAGGTCGAATGTAAAAAATGATCCGAACGCATCCTTAGAATTATAGACGATACTCAGGCGCAACTGTATTCTTATACATACTTAAACCAATTCACATTACTGAGTGATCTACAATTTTCAAGCCAGATTAATTTTACTAGTTTAACTTATATGTTTTGGTACTCTTTTCTAGAAGTTCTTAGCATTTATCCCCTTTAAATATGTCTTACTACTATCCATCTTTTTCAAATCTTCTAACTCTAGGTCACTACCTACATGCATTGCTGTCGATCTTGACTTCAAAACCAGAGGGTATCATGGAAACGAGCAAAGTTTCAATGACACCGATTCATTTCAATTTGAATGCAAAAAACAGGTGGGCCGCTTAGATAACCGACTATTAGCACTATCAAACAATCATATTCAACAGTATTTGCAAAGCAACCACATGATGTACGCCAACCGATATCACAAACTAATCAAGTATGTAGCTTCGATACTCGCTACTCGCTACACAGTCATACTGAGCAGTGGCCGCCCTATTGATCATTTTCTTTTCGTGCTTTCGAGTGACTTGGTTGACAGATATGTTAAGGCATAAATACCCCATAAGGAGAGACTAGATGTTACCACTTCCTGATGCATTTGTACAACTGTGCTAACATGTAGTGAATTCAATATTTCAAACTATCAAGGTACACACCATCACCTCTCTGGTTCCACTCTCTTCTCTCACCACCTTCCCCTCACATCTCTCCTAGTCCCCCAACAAAAACACTCAAATAGAGCATAAATACTGCAGTTCAAAGACAAACACCATTCTTAGTAAATCTCTTTACCATCACATTTCCACACACTAAAAGGAGTCAATTAGCAAGAGAAGTAGGAGGTATTACTTAGAGTTTAAAGGCAGAAGTAAGATTCGCCAAAATTGTGTAGACACAAAAAACCCGCTCTCAAATTCATTGAAAATAATCAGATTATTCTTGTATCTGCCCCCAAAATGGACATAAATCCAATGCACAATAACAACAAAGCCTGATTACTGTCATCCTTTTACAAACCTAATCGCAATGAATTCAGATCGAAGGTTCTGCACATCTTACAATCCTCAGTATCCTTCGAACCTAGCGAGGATAGAAATGATATTTTAGTTTCCTAGTCGCAAGTGTTAGTGACGGGAGTGTAGGGCGGAGTGAATAGAGCGAATATAGTGACTAAACCCCTCATATTTCACTTAAAGCACCTGATATCCAGTTTAAAGTCTTCGAATGACGAACCAGAATGGTCATCAAGGTATTTCCTACCTCTTTCTCCAATTCACCATTCATTCCAAGACTTCCAATCCCGCCCTTTTATAGATATCCAACTCTCAGAATCACAGAAGTCAATACTGCCGAAAACCAATCCATGCAAGTGCGATATAGCTTTTGTTGGATTGGACTTGAAAGCTGTGCTATTAGCAACACATCTAGCTCTCGAGAATCTTGAAGTCGATTCTACTTCCTCGAGTTTTTTTCTCGGAAAGACAGTGCTGCCAATGCAACAAATATCATCCGATTTACACTCCGGTTCTCTACATTCTCGGTAATATCCAAAATAGAGGGAAATAACAACATCCATTCATCCCATCCCCTCCGTCGATCCCATCCGTTCATCCAATCATATAATCCAATCATTCATTAATCTAATCATACCGTCCATTTATTGAACCATTCGAGCACCCAAACATCCAAAAAAAATGCAGAATTAAAATCTCCCCTCACCCCAAAAAGGTACGAGCTCCACCAAAGTAGTAAAAACAAACCTATCCATGTACTTCAACTCGATCCCCCTTCCTCAACCATACCCGAGAGAATCCTGCCAGAGAAACAAACCCCCTCTCTACCCATGCCCTTCTAGTTGACGCGTCCAACTACTCAACTGTAGCATAAGCAGATAACATGCGGAGCCAGTCGCATTTATATAAATAACTACTCACCATAACAGAGTTTGAATCAAAGAGGTGACAAAATGGCTCGCAGGCATGGTGAATATCGGTAGTTAGACTCTAGTAGAAGCATTTGCAAAACAGGGAGAAATAACACAATTCATGTGAATCCCAAAAAACAACTCCGCAATTATCACCCTCCACCCCCAACGTGATCTCGACTCCTCACCTGATCTCAAGTTCCATTCCTGTTCCGCACTTATCGAAATTTTTAGCGAGGTTTTATAGACGTCCCGAATATGATTCAGGTATATCAAAGCGACCTGTACTGCCCTTACCTCTTCATTACCAATTTGGAACTATGGGGCACAAGCGCAGTTCTGATGGTAATACTGAGATATGCTCAAGGATCAGCAAATCAGATACACCATAGTACATTCCATCCAATAGGAATCCAATAACCCTATTTTTCACTATTCGTAGAAATTTCGAATAGGTAGAGACAACAATTGCTTCATAAATTCGGACGATAAAATTAGGCGAACGATATTAGAACCCTGAGATCGGAGTGTGATAAAATGGCAACATCACGACACACGACATTAGACGAATGACTTAGATGAGATGTCTCGCGTAACACATTCATTATTCAACGGTAGACGAACCTCGCTACCAATGCACACGAAGTGATACTAGAAATCCAGACGATGTGAAAAAGAACTCTAATCTCTTAGACGAATACATACTTTCTAAACAACGACGCTACCAGCTATGAGATACGTGTGAGGCAATCTGTTTCACGGAAAGCGAACTTTCTTTCGGGGCTCGCTACGAGTTTGAGAGATGGGTTCTAGATTCGTGTTTTTGAACCACCATATTTACTAGTCGAGTGATGGAAATGACCAATTGAAGATAGTGATGGTAGTAGATTGACAGTAGTAAAATTTGTATTCTTGAGATGGAGTTTCAAAGCAAATTTGGGAAAGATTTGTACTTGTCTAACGTGCGGGGCTATCCTTCATGCAAATCTTCCTCAAAGGCTAAATTCTTGGTAGATCGCGTCACCTAGGTATATCTCCGGTAGTATTTCAATCTCTGCGGACGAGACACTAAAGCGTCGAAAATATCTTGATAGATTTATACTACTTGAACCTAAAAGTAGTCTTAAGCCCCACCGGAGTTCGCTAATTCTATCACCTTAGCCGCCGCTTCATCAAAGTCATCAAATGCATATAGTGGCAATCCACTTTCAGCAATCTATAATTATAAGAGAAAAGTCAGTAAACACTTATTCTTCTCACAATCTTTCAGGTCAATAAATTGACCACAACCAAAGGAAAAAGATAACTTACAATCCTCTGCCCCTCCTTTTCATTCGTCCCTCTAATTCTAACAACCACCGGCACCTTAACTCCCAACTCCTTAAAAGCCAGAAGGATTCCCTCAGCAATCATATCTCCTAAGGTCAACCCCCCAAAAATATTGACAAAAACCACCTTCACCCTCTCATCTCTCAATATCACCTCGAAACTCTTCTTCACCGTTTCCGCCGTCGCTTTCCCTCCAGTATCCAAGAAATTTGCAGCTTTACCCCCTGCATCTGCTAAAGCATCTACGGTATTCATAGCCAACCCTGCACCATTCACCAAAGTCCCAATATTACCATCGCCGGCAAGTTTGATGTATACTATACCGTCTTTTTCGGCAGCCGTTTCGGCAGGATCTTGAATATCTGCGCGCGGGAGAGAATGGATCTCTGATTGCCGATTTGAGCTTTTAAAGGCGGCATCATCAAAACCGAAACGTGCATTCACAACCACCATTCTCTGATGACCTTCTAGTTTCGTTGCTTTTTGATTTTTCACGACGCATTCGAGGAGGAAGGCTTCTTTTTCTTTGAAGAGTTCAAACAAGCCGGAAACGAGTGATTTCAACAACCTGCTTTGAGGTCTCAAACCCAAATGAGAGCTGCACTTATGGAGTACATTAGACATCCTGGCTGCATCGTATGAAAATGGAAGCTTTATCGATTTTGTAGAGGACTCATTCTCTTTACCCGGTCCCTGTATTATTAAACATGGACATCGGTTACTTCGATCAATGCCAATAGCAAGGTGGTAAGTCTGACCAGCTGGGCTCCTAATGATTTTCTTTTCGTCGAGCAATTTAAAAGCGTCTCCTTCTTTGAGATATATGGTTCTTCTTTGCGCCATGTCCATTTGTGAGATCCTTGGTGTTGGACGTACCCTCATTGTGTGTATACCTCGCTTTTGAGAATGAATACTTGTAGCCACGCCATTACTTGATCTCCCGGAGCTCTCTAATAAGGTCTTCATAGCATTACCGAATTTGGCTGGATGATTGACCATAGTGACTCCTACATCTTCGAAAGCCTTGATTTTTGTCAACGCATCAGGTTCTCCTGGCAAAGTGAAAGCTCCAGCATGACCCATGACCCTACCAGGAGCTGCATGAACACCAGCGACTAGTGCTGTAATAGGTCTATGAAAGATTAGTATAACTCAAAAGGTCTGTAAGAAACTCACTTGGGATTTGGTGAACGTTTTTTATATTCCTTAATCCAAGCTGCAGCCTCAAGTTCTGCTTCACCACCAATTTCACCGATAATGATGATTCCTTCAGTATCATCATCATGTTCAAAAATCTTTAAAGCATCCACAAAATTAGTACCAGCCAATACATCACCACCCATTCCAATACAAAGACTTTGACCAAGTCCAGCCCTAGTCGTTGATGCGACAGCTATTGACATTAGTATCAATCAAAACTATCTG